GACCCAAGCCATGGTATTTTCAATAACCTCATATGCATGTGAAAGTTGGACAGTGAATAAGGAAGACCGTAGAAGAATTGATGCTTTTGTGTTATGGTGTTGGAGGAGAATTTTGAAAGTGCCATGGACTGCCAAAAGAACCAATAGATCTGTTTTGGAAGAAGTGCAGTCAGAGTACACCTTAGAGGCCAAGTTGACCAAACTTCATCTCTCATACTTAGGACATATTGTCAGGAGGGACCAGTCACTGAGGAGGGATATCATGTTGGGTAAGGTTGGGGGGGGGAGGGTCAGAGAAAAAAGAGGAAGACCCCCAACGATATGGATTAGCCAAGTGGCAGCATAGATGGACTCAAGCGTGGCAACAGTGGTGAGGTTGGCCCAGGATCTGGTTTTGTTCTGCTGTGCATAATGTCCCTGTGGGTCGGTACCGACTTGATGGCACAACAAACACAAGAGACTTTTGTGTGGTTATTTTGTTTTTATTGTTGTTTTATGGTGAAACTACAGCATATTCTAGCTACCTGGTAGTCTACACTTAATTATGTTCCCCAAGTCCAGTGCTCCTCTTGGTGCCTCAGAATCTTTTTCAAGGTTGCTGTCCCTTTAAACTCTAGGCATGAGCTTTATTAAGTCCTCTGTTGTTCTTGCATTCCTGGTGTGGCACTGTATAATAAGCTCTGGATTTCTAACTGCATGTCTCAGTTCAAACCTACCACACACACCTCAGAAACCCTCTACAGGGTCCAATTGGACAGCACTTAATAACAACTGCCGTTTTGTTGTAGTGGCCTCTAAACTGTGATCAGACGATTTCTCCAAGATGAGAAGTAGGAATTAAATCAGTGTTCTTTGACCACTGACACACACACATTGCTTTTACCTGTCACTACTGTGTTTGATTCAAAGAAAGGCTTTTGTTGCTTACAAGGTAGTTAAAATCCAGTGTTGGGCGGATCCCTCAGTTGATTCTGGTAGTCTGAGAAATCTTTAGTGAGTAAGAGATAGAGACACTGAGTTACCAATTTGACTCGAGAAAGATGTAGCAAAAATTGGAGCAGAAAAGCTCTGGGACTCCATTGAGAAGGTGTATGCTTACAAACACAATTAACTTTGTACCCAGGTTGTGTATTTGCAGTATTTATTAAAGGATTTATACTTTTGTAAGTCAAAATTCCTTATATTAAGTGCAGTGTGTCCTTTCCTTGTATTACTTATGCAATTCCTTTGTTCCCGTTAATGAAATTTAGGTTGCTCACTAGGAGTTCTGGGTTTTGAAATACCTCATTAATTTTGACAAATTGTCTTCTTTATTCCTCTGACAACTATATGTTGTGTTATGTTTCTTCTCTCACAACTGATTTGTATGTCTGCCCCAACTTGCATGTATACCTGACATGCAATATTGAACTCTAAAATTGTGAAATGTGAATGCTGACATCACTAGATTGTTACAAAGAATCCTTGGGACATTTAAATAAACATAATTTATTTAAATTTTTAAATAAGATTAAAATAAACATAAATCGTCCTGTACTCCAGCCCCACGTTGATAAACATGCACTTATACAAAGCTTGTTTGACTTTAATGTGGATAAATCATTTAGTAACCAGAAGTTAATTGCCTATTTTTTAGTAGGGAGTGCTTGCATATTTGGCTTTTAAGATTTTTTACTTTCATTTTATTATTGGCAACTTAAATTTGTATTGTAACCCAAATGATGTTTGTTTTTGAGAAAAAGTAGTCATATACTACTTGATGCTATTATTTCCACTAAAAATTACTTTTAATTTATATATATATAAAGTAAATAATTATGTAGCACAGTGGTTAAAGCACTTGACTACTCACTGAAAGTTATGCAGCTCATACTTACCGGCTGCTGTGTTGTAGAATGATGTGGCAACCTGCTTCCATGGAGATTACAGTCTTAAAAAAATACTATTGCACAGTTCTGTTAGCACTTAATCATAGGTCAGTTTGAGCCACAATTTCAGCAGTTCAAACTCACCAATCACCCCTCAGACACCCTATACAGGGTCGCTATGAGTCGGAACCGATTCAATGGCACATAGCAACAACAACAGCAGTTCTATTCTGTCCTATAGGATGACTTATTCTGTCCTGTAGGATAGCTATGAGTCATAATTTACTCAATATGTATATCATGTGTAGATGTACATACACACAGACACACACACACAGTGTTTGTACCACTGTAGGATCAGCGGTTCACAAGGTTGGTGGTTTAAAAAGTCAGCAGTTCAAACCCACCAGGTGCTCCTTGGAAACCCTACAGGGTCAATATGAGTCAGAACTGACTTGATGGCACTGAATAACAAATATATATATTTGAAATATTTGCCATTGAGTAGATTTTGACACATTGTAACCCATATGTATAAAAGTAAACTTTTCTCCATAGGGTTTTCCATGGCCAATTTTTCAGAAGTAGATCAACAGGACTTTTTCTTTTTGAATTACCTGTTGATGGATGCAAACTGCCAACCGTTTAGTTAGCAATTGAAGGTTTAATCCTTTTCACTACCCTAGGCCTTTGGTTATGCACATTGCAGCTATGTTTTCCTAAGTTTATAGTCAAAATCAGTGAGATTATGCCTTTGAAAACTGTGTATATGAAATATGCATTTCTATTATAATGACAGTTTTTAAAGAGATTTGGAAGGATTACTTTAAGGGTCACTGTAGGAAAAGCTGGGCTGCTAACACAGTGTCAGCAGTTCAGACCCATCATCAGCTCTTTGGAAACCTAGACTTCCTTACAGGGCACTATGAATTGAAAATGACTCTACAGCACTTAACAACAGCAAAGTAAGAGTAGGAGCCCTGATAGTGTAGTGGGTTACAAGTTGGACTGCTAACCACAAGGTCAGAAACTCAAATCTTCCAGCTGTTCTGCAGGAGAAAAATGAGGCATTTTGCTCCCATAAATATTTATGGTCTTGGAAAACCCTCTACAGAGTCACCATGAGTTTGAACTGACTAGATGGTACACAGCTTCATCAGAGTTATATACAGTATTGTGAATTGTTTCCTTGTTTATCTTTTTTCAGGACACTCAAATATTAAAGCCTTCCTGAGCCATGGTGGTTTGAACAGTATTTTTGAGACTATGTATCATGGTGTACCTGTAGTGGGAATCCCACTCTTTGGAGACCATTATGATACCATGACCCGAGTACAAGCAAAAGGCATGGGAATATTGCTAGAATGGAAGACAGTTACTGAAGGAGAGCTGTATGAATCACTCGTGAAAGTTATTAATAACCCCAGGTAAGCTTTCAACGACTATTAAAGCAGGTAAAGTATTGCATACTGCAGTATATAATAAATAACCAGTAGATTATGATGGCACTTAACAATAACAACAGCAATTACCAATGAAACCAGTTGCTAAAATCTCTTGTAGAGTTTCTGTGTACATGTTTTCTATAATTTGAAAGATAAAAATAACAATTGTTTGGCTTTAGTTAAGTATTAGTCTATTAAAATTTGCCAAATCTAGAAAGAAACTTTACAGGGAATCTATAGTATGTTAGATTTTATGTCCTTTATCTCATTCTATTACTCGTAATAGCCATATACCACTTATTATTATCCACATTATAGAGATCAGGCATTTGAAACATAGCTTAAGTAGGTTTCCGGAAGTTACACAGCTAGTAGAAATTTGAAGCTGGAACAGCCTGATTCCAAAGCATTTTGTACTGTGCAGTAAGCCTGGGTGCTGGGTTTCCCTAGCACTGGGTGTCACTGAAACACTAAGAGCTATTTACTTAGGTGAATGACTAATCAGAACCTTATCTTGTTTTGCTAAATCTTGATACATTCTGAGGTAAGACACTTCACAAGAGTTTTAAAGAGTGAAAAAGGAGGCATGTGTAATTTTATAACAAAGTATCCATTTTCCCATGTTTAGCCTTGATATTTAATTTATCTTGCATTTCAAATGACATTTAAGTTTTACAAGTGAGTTTTTTCTTTTGATACCTGTGTGAATGTTCTAAAACTAAACTAAAAAGCACTGTCCTATTCTAAGGAACAAACAACAATAAGAAAAATCTTTTATATAAAATGATGTAGCATTCATTTCAAAGGATGGATTCAAGCATACTGAAGGCTCATTATGCTGTTTTCTGTGTGGGCTCAGAGGCAGCGTTCATACTCTAGCTCCATAAAGGAGCCAGTGTCTTGATTACAATTCTGGCACTTGGAGCAATATGCTTTATGACCCAGAGTACTTGCATATATCCCTTCCTCGTGTCCTATGGTTTTTCTTTTAAGCCCTAATGATTTGCAAACTATGATGTTTTTGATGAAAAATTATGCATATCATGCAGATTTTGAAAGGAAACTGTAAAATGCAGCCGTAGATTTGGTGGGGGTAACAGTTGCAGACCTACTGAGACTGGGTGAGTTACAGAGAAAAAAGCAATAGACTAAATTATCTTCAGGTTTGGTGTTCTGTGAGGTATGAGCCCTGTCAAATCAGAACAAGGACAGATTATAATCCTAGGCCACATTGCACTTAAATCCCAACTGTACAATCTTGTAGTGATTTCAGAGTATTTTTGACATTGAAAAGATTTATAACATTCTAAAGAGTATGCAGGAGTCCTGGTGTGGGGCTGTGGGCAAATGCTTCAGACTGCAAAGTCGTTTGAACTGTGAGGTGAGTGGTTCAAACTCAACAGCTGCTCCTTGGAAACCCTATACTGGGTCACTATGGGTCAGAAACAACTAGATGGCACTTAACAACAACAACAAAGGGTATGCAAGTGATAGAAATTGCATATAACCTTTGAAATTTTAAAATATTTAACTAAAAGTCTTTCACATTTTCAGTGTAGAATCACATTTTAGTCGATGTAAAATTAAGAATTATTTAGGTATATTTTCTTTACTAAAAATCCTTTTAAAAACAGAGTTATTTAGTTTATCTTTCTTTGCTTCAAATATATATCCATTTTCCTCCTTTGTCATATAATAACTATTGAAAAGGCTAGCTTGATTCACTGATATGTGTCAGACATGTTTTAGTTTAAACCAAGTAATCAATATTGTTTAAAAAAACATTACTTATGTTTTTTACTTATAAAGAAAATCATGAATAAATACACATCTTAATTCTTTTCGTACTAGTCATTTAGATGTACTGAATAGCAGGCTAATGTTTGTTTGTTTAGTGGGAAGGTGAGAAATTATTTTGACTCCAGAAATTCTATTCATTGACAGCAAGTTGTGGAGAAAGATGAGAAATTGATCTTCATTTATTTTGCACTTATCCAATAACCAGTGGTAGCGTAGTGGTTATGAATCGGGCTGCGAGCCACAAGGTCAGCAGTTCGAAACTACCATTAGTTCCACGGGAGAAAGATGAGGCGGTCTGCTCCCGTAAAGATTTACAGCCTCGGAAACCCTGTGTAGGGTAGCTATGAGTCGGAACCGACTCCACGGCACACAACAACAACAACAATCCATTTTTAATGGAAGACACACTTTTGTAAAATGTTATATGTAAGTTAAGTAATTGTTTCCATTAAAGGAGGCCTTACCCAGGAAATCTAGGAATAGTTTGCTGGTGTTGTTGTTGGGTGCTATTGAGTCGATTCTGACTCTTAATGACCCTGTGTTGGGTTTCCAAGGAGCAGCTGGTAAGTTTGAACTGCCCTCTTTGTGATTCACAGTCCAGTGCTGATCCCAAGTTCACTTTCATTGTAACTTCTCTTTTTCTTTTTAACCTTTCTATTTTTACTGGAGACAATTTTGATGTGTAACGCATACTATGCTAAAAGAATAGTGCCACGTAACAGTAACTTTGAGGCCAGTTCCAGAAAAGAAACTATCTCCATTTAAAATAACCTCTGAACTCTGTATTCTATCCATTTCATATTAATTTTAGTATGAATCCATGTTAATGTATGCATATTTTTGTTACTACAGAAGACTCACAAGGGCTGCTAACCTCAAGGTCAGCATTTTGAAACTACCAGCTGTTCCATGGGAGAAAGATGATGCTTTCTGCTCTCATAAAAACTTACAGCCTTGGAAACCCTATACAGAGTTGCTATGAGTTGGAACCAACTCCATGGCATATAACTACCACCATCAACAACAACAACCACTACCACAGAAGACTCATAGAATTTTGGATTGGATAATACACATACTAGTTCACCACCACAGAAGACTCATAGAACTTTGGATTGGATAATACACATACTAGTTCTATTAGTCTGTCCTTAGGTAGGAATAAAGGTATGATTGTTGTTGTTGTTAAGTCTCTTTGAGTCGATTCTGACTCATAGCGATTCTGTATAGGGCTTCCAAGGAGCAACTAGTGTGTTTGAACTGACGACCTACAATGCCACACCAGGACTACGTCTGATTGTTGTTGTTGTTAAGTGCCATTGAGTCGGTTCCGACTCATAGCAACCCTGTGTAGGGTGTGTGATGAGTGGCTGATGGGTTTGAACCACTGACCTTAACAACTCAAATCGACCATGTGGTCCAGTACATTATCATGCAGCTCCACACTAACTAATTAATTCCTTTCTCCATAATGAGATACATGGGGCAGACTGATAAAGATCTTGTTTAAAAAGGAATGATCCAGGAACAAGTGAACTTAATAGGAGTTTCATATGGGTAATCAGTTAATGCAACATTGCAAGATGTCAGATTACCCACAGAAGAAGTCTAATCAGATGTACTCTCTTAAATCGTATACAGTGACATTAAATCACTTTAAAACCAAGATTGTTTTTTCTTCATCCTCCTCCTCATTTGTTAACATGGAAAGTTTGATTTTGTTTTCAAAAATATTTCATTTCGATGTTTTAAAAACTCCATTTTATTCTGTTAAAGTATTTTCTTAGAAAATTGAAAAATAAGTTTTAAATTCACTTTGCCATCAATTAGAAATAAAGATGAATTACAGAATAAGGTAAAGGCAGGCTCTTAATATTTGGATGAGACCTTCTAAAATAAATATTTATTATAAACCAGTAATTTTGTTTTGAGGCTTTCAGAGAAGACGTCTTTTAGAAATTGCATTCTCTCAGCCCATATAACATTACAAAGTCCTGGCGAGGGGCTGTGAGATAAAGCATTGGACCGCAAGGTCGATTTAAACCACAGAGTCAGTGGTTTAAATTCACCAGCTGATCCTTAGAAAACTTATATAGAGCAGCTGTGAGTCAGAATGAGTTGAAGGCACTTAACAATGACATACCGCTATAGAAAGAAACCTGCAAATAATAGCCTCGGCTTGTTCTTTCTCTCAGTCTTAGCGTCCTACTGCAAACTGCTTCTCTAATTGTTCTTCACATACTTGTTAAAACTTAATGTTCATAATTCCACCATACATCTGTCAGGTTGTCACACTGTGGTGGTTTGTGTGTTGCTGTGATGCTGAAAGTAGTGCCACCTGTATTTTAAATACCAGCTGGGTCACACATGGTGGACAGATTTCAACAGAGCTTACAGACTAAAACAGGGTAGGCAGAAGGGAGAGGTGAACCACTTTTGAATGGTTAGTCACTAAAAACCTGAATAGCAATAGAACTTTGTCTGATAATAGTGCCTAAAAATGAGCCCCTCAGGGTGGAAGATACTCAAAATACAGCTGGGGAAGAACTGCCTCCCCAAAGTAGAGTTGACCATAATGGCAAGAATGGGGCAAAGTTTTCAGGTTCTTCATTTGCTGACAGGGCACAACTCAAAATGAGAAGAAACAGCTGAAAATACCAATTAATAATTAGAATGTGGGATATATGAAGTTTAAATTAAAGAAAATTCAAAGTTGTCAAAATGGAACACATAAAGATAAATATCCTAGGCATAAGGGTGCCGAAATGGACAGGGACTCGCCATCTTGATTCAGACAAACAAATGATTTACTATATTGGTAATGATGAAGAGGAATGGCATTGCATTCATCATCAAAACAAACACTTCAAGATCTGTCTTAACATACAGTCCAGTGTGTGACAGGATAATATCCATACTTCTGGTGTGGCGCTGTGCTTTATTGCACCAGATTGCAAAACCATTTGAACTTAAAGGTCGGCGGTTCAAGCTCACCAGCTGCTCCTCGGAAACCCTGTGCAGAGTTGCTGTGGTTCGGAATCAACTTGATGGCATTTAACAACAACAGGAAGATCAGTTCATACAACTATTCAAATTTACCAGCCACTAAGACCAGTGATAATGAGATTGAAGAATTCTATCAACTTCTTCAGGCTAAAATTGATCAAACATGCAGTCAAGAT